CCGCTGCTACTGCTACTGCGGCTTCTACTACTACTACTACTACTACTACTGCTGCTGCTGCTGCTGCTACTGCTACTGCGGCTTCTACTACTACTACTGCTGCTACTGCTACTACTACTCCTCCTCCTCCTACTACTACTACTACTACTACTACTACTACTACTACTACGACTACGACTACGACTACGACTACGACGACTACTACTACTACTACTACTACTACTACCACTACCACTACTACTACTACTACTACTACTACTACTACTACTACTACTACTACTACTACTACTACTACTACTACTACTTCTACTACCTGCGACTACCACTGCCATTACCTCGGCCAGTACCACTACTACCAGCCCGCTACAAACGCTGTAATTACCCTTACGATGACGAATACCACAGAACTGCGTGATTCGCAATGGATATGATCTAGCGCTGTTGCCAGCAGGACGCCACTTGAGTGGAAGTGGTTACATGAGGAAAACAAGCCCTGTAGGATGGCCTAGCGCGGATTTTCTGCCTGTCACGTGGAGCCTTGCAACCCTCGATGGCACCAAGCCTTCGGCAAACACTCACGGCACCTGTTTTCCAGCGCTGCAACGGGCTCAAATGAGCCAGGGAAACGTCAGGTTTCATGTGCTAAGTGCTTTCGGTTAGGGGCAGGCTCGTCACGTTGACAGCCGGTATCCCGAAAATCTAGTCTTCCTTATCGTTATCCCAGCTGAGAACAAACGCTAAGCGAAACTCTGTCGATGCACAAACTACACTGATATGAGCAGTCGATGGGAATTTGGGATTGTGAACGAAGCGGACAGCGATGGTATCGATAAGGAAAGCCACGGTCGTTAGTCTTTACCTACAACTTTCCTGCTGACTTCAAGATGGGAGTCGCAGGCAGCTCTACCTTCACTGCACTTGTGGCAGGGCAAGCATCAACAAGGGTGGACCACCGAAGGGTGTCTACCTGCCATTGCAAACACAGAAAAAGTTGGAACCCATCATACAAGCGTCTTACTGCAAGAGCAAGGCCCCACATCACAAGCACGTGTTCTGTCGCGATTTCAGTCCGAAGCCCCAGAAACAACAGAAGAATTGTAGGTCCCTCCTAGGTCATGTTCATGATTCGAGTATGGTGTACTTGTCCAGTCTCCTGGGAGAACTGAAAGGTAACCTTTGGGATTCTATAGGGATTGTAGTTTGGTTATAGTACCCCTCGAAAGGTTAAAGGTCACCTAGTCTACTACCACGATGGAGTCGAAGACTTAAGGTTCCAAGGATTTCGGCCCTGTCGTCCGCAACCTCCAGCTGCATGCCCCCCCTGCCTGAATGATCAATCAAACGTGCAACGCCTAGTGCTGTAAGAAATGCAGGAGAGCCTTGTGAAGGGAAACATGCCTGTGAACGACTTTTGTACTCTGCCAGTGCCTTCCAACTCCGGAGACTGGAACGGAACCGACGGACGCAATCGAGCTCGGGGGCGATGCTGCGTTTTTTTCTTCCCAGTGTTCTTTTCGTCGCCTCTCGTCTTCTGTCGTCGTCTCGTTAACATGAAGGGTATGTCTGCGAAATGCTGAACTTACTGACACCGCAAACTCTGACACAGCAACTCGAAGTGCTGCCTCAGCAGGTGCTCACATCCACCTGCGAGAGGCCGGATTGAGGCCGAGTGTTTCGGGGCTTTGATGTTCCTATTGCAGCCAGCATGGTGGGTTGTGGCTATGTTTTTGCATTTTTGATTGTGGGCATGATTTGACACAGGAAGCTCAGAAACAAGTCAGAGAGTGTTGACGACCTCATCACGATTTCTTTCCTGCTAGCCCCTAACTTCATTCCGAAGTCTCTCCACGGTGCCTGCATTGTGGTCTGGGCGCTGAGACTCAAACCCCGAACCTTGAACTAGATCCCCTAAATCCCAAACCAGAGAAAAACCTACAACACACACTATAAAACCATGTAAAACCCTCCTATAAAACACGCTATAATGCACACAAAAAACAAACAAACAACACACACACACACAAAACACCTGTAAGCCCTAACTCTCAGACCTTGGCCCGGAAGCCTTGCAACGTTTGAACTAGGATGCCCAGTAACCTGGAAATATAAAAAGGGCTCCCTTTTTTGGTATCGGGTAAAATTGTAAGGAACCTAGAACTACAAAAAGGGAAGAAGGGTACTGGGCATCCTAGTTTGGAAATTATCCCGAAGCCTCCGCTCTCCAGTTCATGGAAGGAAGAGTCCACGAAGCTTAGGGCTTAGGTTCAGGATGTAGGGTTTGGAGCGCCCCAGTTTCAAAGGTAGGTTTACGGCTTTAGGATTAGGATTTAGGGTGTGGGGTGCCCGAGTTTCAGAGGGAGGTTTTGGGCTTTTAAGGCTTTCGGTTGAGGGTGCCAGAGACTCCAATATCCCTTGATGAAGGAATAAACCTTAAACCATAGTAGGGATCCTACTATCATTTCCGGAATATTCTTTAATCAAGGGATATTGGAGTCTCTGGGTACTAAGGAAACAACCAGGAGATTGCGTGTGCCTCCTTCTTGCCCTGCAGGGCAGTGCAGACGTTTTGGGCGTCGGACGGCTTCGAAACGCCTCGACGAACGGAGAGGCCAATAAGGTAGGAGTTTTTAATAATTAGCATAGGGTTTTGGTGACCCCAAAATAGTATCGGTAATTATCTAGCCCCCTAGACTACCCTAAACCCTAAGCTCCTTAGTTAGGCCCTTATATTATGCCGCCCGACAGCTGAAACCCGAAGATGCTTTTCTTGCTTCCGAAGAGCGATGCAGGTACAGGGGAACGCAGACCTTCCAAAATCTTAACCTTAAGTCATATCCCTGGGCATCAAAATAGCCCAAAAGCCTTATGCAATATGGTCTTTGGGCCCAAAAGCCTTGATATATAAGTCCTTAGATGCTCAGGGTATTAAGGATCAACTTCAAGTCTCTATTCCATATTCAAGGGATATTGGAAAGTCTGGGAAGTTTGTGTCAAATTTTCAACACTAGAGTTGAGGGCTTGCCTGCAGCCTTCCCGCGGTCCGCACAAAAACACCAGATTCGGCTGCATTTCAGAACTCTGCACACTGAGGTCCCGTCAATGCCAAGCTCCCAATTCCCGAATTCCAGAAGGAACATTACTCACACATCCTGATGTTTGAAATCCCCCTCACTCCTAAACCCTAAAACTCTAAACCCTTTCTTCCGGTGCCTGGTGTTGCGTGGCCCGGCATGCGGAATTGCGTGCGGGCCCAACCCTCGCCTGAACTCTGCGGTTACTTACCCAGAGACTCCAATATCCCTTAATTAAAGAATATTCCTTAAACTCTAGAAGGATCCCTAACATGGTTTATGGTATATTCCTCAATTAAAGGATATCGGAGTCTCTGGGGTACTTAGTGTGCACGGGATGTCTTCCGGCATAGGAGCTTCATGCAAGGGGTCCTGGAAGCTAGAATCGGGTTTTGAGGCAAGTTATACTGGAATTGGATGATAGGAGCTCTAAATACCAATACTACTAATTCCCTGAATCCTAAACCGACGACTAATTTTTCAAACCACTCAACTTGATTACTTTCTAGTGGCTTTGCAAACTCAGGAGATGGTGACAGGGCTTGTGGCTCATGGTCTCTGGGTGTTGCTACTTGGAGGTTCATGGGACATAGTATCTGCGGTTATAAGTAACATAACTATACTACAACTAGTCATAACCCTGTTAAGGTACTTATCACTGTACCTACTAAGTTCCATGAACCTCCAAGTACCCTCAGCTCTGAAAACCATTCCTTCAACTACACGACATGGAATTGTAGCGACCGGGGTACAAACAGGGCAGCAAGAGCCAAACTGAGCTGCTTGGCTTGAACTTCGACTGAGCAAGGGGCAATTGTAGACGCTGCCGGCCGAGATTTTCGACATGCAGAAGCCCTGCATGGAGGTTCATGGGACTTAGTAACTAGAGCTATAAATAAAGTAACCATACCTATAGTTACTTATAACCCCAGTTAAGGTACTTATAACCGTAGTTATTAAGTCCCATGAACCTCCAAGTGTGAAGCAATGCGCGAGCTCAGAGAAGCACCGGAGCAGAGCCGTGGCTTCAGTGAAGCAAAGCTTGCGAATCCCGAGTCATGTACTCCCAGAGACTCCAATATCCCTTACCTAAGGAATATTCCTTAAATCATATAAGGGATCCTACCATAGTTTAAGGAATATTCCTTAATTAAGGGATATTGGAGTCTCTGGGCTATTGGGGCCTTAATAATTGAACCAGGGCTTTGGGGGTATATTATACCATTTTTCTCATACGGAACCCACAAAATAGTACCTGGTAATCATAAAGGGCCCCTATAGTAACCGTGATACTGGTGGGCAGTGAGCACCTTGCCAGGGGTGCCAGATGCACAACCGCAATCGTTGACGAACTTCCTGGGCCGTTGGAAGGGGGTGGTATCATAGCGACCCTTGCAGGGGTAAGGGGGAGGGGTGTAAGGGACTACTAAGGGTCCCTATGATGGCAACGAAGGTTGTGATCTTGTCTTAATTGTCTTGCTCGTGATTTTGGTGACAGTGGCAAGTGCAGCAACCTAGCGGTAATACGTGCGGAAGTTGTAGTGGAGGCACTAGCATTAGGCAGTGGAAGTGGCAGCAGGCACCCCGCTCCATCCTTCTCGTCCTCATCCACACCATCAACATCGTCAACGCAGTAGTCGTCGCTGTTTTCATCACTGCCTATGCTATCATCATCACAGCAAGAACCATCACGTCGTCTCCATCTCTATCAGCATCACCGCTCTTATCTGCGTCATGTGCATTTACTTCTCCTGCTACGGCTGTTGCGATGATTGCTTCTCTGACGACCACAGCGACGATTCTGGCACCAACACCAGCACCGGCACCAAGACGGCTACTACCAACACTAGCGTGAGATTTTCAAAACTTTGCGGTCGAATGAATGTACAGCCGCTTCAACGGTTCATCTTCGTCCTCGCCTGTGTGCTTTCACTGCCAATCACCGGCATGTGAATGCCACTTGCGCCCAAGCTTCACTTTGGTGCCCGTCTTGCTTGCGTAGTGGCCACATACCTGATCCAGCCCACAGAAGGCTTAGGCGTTTCAGGTTGCTACGCCGTCGTCTGGGATCCATCTCTTGCTTACACCGGAAGACTGCAAAACAAGACTTCCAAACAACCTGGTATTGCATTGGCATTACTCGCACTTCCAAAGTCCCCTCGCCACTTCACGCTCTGGTGCCTGTGAGCCGAAGCAAGTGCACCATGGGGTCAGCAGGTCGTCACGGTCTGGCATCTCCTGCTTAACACCACGGCGCATGCTTCGGGGTCGATGGCTCAGCTGTCACGATGCGAGTGAGACGCGAACAACCGCAAGAAGTAGAACCTGGCCGGCAGAAAGAACTCCCGGATAGTTCCGTAGGGGCAGCAGAGGGTCAAACGCGATGTGCAAGAACACCAGATCAGACATTGATGTTTTGCCTAGACCTAAGAGTAACATAGGAATAAAAAGGGTGCCCTTTTTGGGGTAAAGGGGGTTATAAGGGAACCTAAACCATAAAAAAGGGAATAAGGGCCTACTCTGGGTCCTGGTTGCAGTTCGGAAAGTCGGGCTCGGGTCAAAAACAGACCTGCAGGAAAGCTTTCACTGGAAAGCCTGACGCTAAAAACCAACAGCCAGCCGTGAACGCGGTCCCAATGAAACATATCAGTACAAGACATCTCTGCATACAAGAATACATGAGTGTGGTGTCATACATGACCCTTTAATGGGCTCTTCAACCTCTCTTTTGGACATCAAACTGGAAAGTTGGATCCATGCATGTGGTAGGGTTTAGGGATGATTTGCCTCCTTGCAAAGACGCGCTCCTCTGCAGACTTCCCTGCGATCTTTCGCGCGGCCGCAAGGGACGCGGCACCAATCGGGTTCCCTGAGGGTCTCAGACAAGAAGATACCCAGAGACTCCAATATCCCTTAATTAAGGAATATTCCTTAAATCATAAAAGGCATCCTACTATAATTGAGGAATATTCCTTAATTAAGGGATATTGGAGTCTCTGGGTACCCTAAACCCCGACCGCCGGAAACGTCCAAAGCATCGATCCCCTAACTTGCGACAGTATTGAAGTACCCTGGGGGTCAAAATAGCCCAAAAGCCTTATATAGTACGGTCTTTGGGCCCAAAAGCCTTAATATATGAGTCCTTAGATCTCTTTGGGAGAGGAGAGTTTACAAAGAAGCCCCTTGAGGAATCTCCAGGGGTCTGGGAGCATCCAAAATCTGCGGTACTTAGAGGTTCATGGGACTTAGTAACCAGGGTTATAAGGGGCTCCTCAAAACGTTCCTTAAAGGGGTCTATAGGGTTCCTTAGGGGGATCTATAGGGTTTTTTTAAAAAACTATGTTGACGGCCCTTTCTCCTGAACGCGCCAGCCCTATTCGGGCTCATAGCTGTGAAACTACCTCAGTCTCTTACATCTATAGGGTTTAGGGTTTAGGGTCTACTTAGAGGTTCATGGGACTTAGTAATCAGGGTTATAACTAAGTCTCATGAACCTCCAAGTACACCATGCTGTGCGCTTCGGCCCCCGTGGAAACCAGCCCTTGTACAGATCCCTTTCTTCCGAATCCAATCTAAGGCAGGACAACAGTTTTATTGTCTGTTCATCTGAGGACGATGCCTGCCGCATCGTTGCCATCCCGGGCTTTCTTGTCGAGCATGCAGCAAGTGTTGTGCGTGTCATGCGCCTGGGAGACATGTGAGCCACAGCTTAGGGAGCATTTCAGTGCAAAGGACATGCAGACCCTCTATAACAGTGTTGGCACGAGGAGTGACTTTGGTCACTACTAGGGGTACTACTACTACTAGTACTACTACTACTACTACTACTACTGCTACTACTACTACTACTACTACTACTACTACTACTACTACTACTATGGGTATCAGAGCTTCAAAACGCAATGTAAAATGGCACCGTCCTCAACTCCCAGCCTTTCGGAGCTCATGACCGCCATCTCTGAACTTCTCTTTCTCTGTCTCCCTCGCTCTGTGCGAAGCAGAATTACCTTATGGCGTTATACTTTATAACCAACCATAACCTTATTCAATACACGTATAAGTACCAAAACAGTTATAACTACTTATCTATAACCCTAAACGTGATAAACAACCTTACCAAACACTCACAACCCCCTCTAAACTTAACCATAAAACTCGAAACGACACCATCGTAAACCGTGTGATGCCTGGAAGCAGTGAGAGATTGCACTGCCAGCAGCCTTGTAATTCTCACCTCAAAAGGCTTTAGGTTTAGGGTTCATGGGTTTAGGGGTTTAGGTTATAGGCTTCAGGGTTTTGGGGCTCGATATAAGGCCTGTGAAAACAGAAATTTGGATGTTATTTAAAGGTTCTGTAAGGGTAACTATGAGGGTGTGATCGAGGGGCGTTAGTGATTTGTATGGGTTTTTGGGGCATATCATCACCTTGTAACCATAATACTTGAAGGTTCCTTGAGCGTAGTAGCTAGGTTCAAAAACCAAGTACCTATACTAGCACTTAGAGGTTCATGGGACTCAGTAACTAGGGTTATAAATAAGGTAACTACACTTCTATGTACTTATACTCCCGACTAGGGTACTTATAACTGTACTTACTAAGTCCATGAACCTCCAAGCAAGACCCTGAAGGAGAAGGCCCGGGACGCGACATATTCCGAAGCCCCTGGACCTACCTTCCTGAGCGGCCCCCTTGATAATACGGGTACCACTTTTTCCTACTCTTCGGCTTTATAATAGGGGTACCCTCTTTCCACCTCTTCGGCTTTAATATAAGGTAAAAGCCAGAAAGTTGGAACATGGTTTCAGGGTAGGATACCTTATAATTTACCATAAAGGGCTTAGGAGAATCATATTCCAACTTTCTGGCTTCTACTGTAGGGCTCTAAGATACAAGGGCAAATTGGTATTACCCAGGAGTCTGGGCACCCAAACCCGGCATATTGAAGGAGCCCCGAGCTCAGAGAAGCGGGAGCTCTTACATTCCGGAACCGAAGTAACGCACGGTTGATGATATAAATCCTGCATTACCCATGATAAGGAATATACCATAATTCCAATAGCCTAGGGTCCTTAAGGCAATGCAGGATTTCTATCATCAACCGTAGGAAGTTCTCTAAATTAGGGCAAAATAGTACGCCACCCTTCTAAAAAGGACCTAAAACGGACCCTGCCTTACCATTTGCAATAGGCTCTCTGGGGTCGTTCCAGTATCATTATGGCGAGGAGCCATCCTTCTGGCACGAGTACTGACACTACTGTTGATGGACAAAATCCTGCATGACCCTTAGGACTATAAACTATGGGAACTATGGTATATTCCTTATAATGAGTAATGCAGGATTTTGTCCATCAGCAGAAGTATCATGGGACTTAGTAAGTACGATTATATGTACCTCATCCAGGGTCATATGTAATAATTAGTAGGGCTACCTTTGTATAACCCTAGTTACTAAGTCCCATGAACCGTTAAGTAAGCATTCAGGCATCCTTTTATGATGGGAGGCCAAAAGGGAGGGTTTTAAAATTCTTGGGGCAGGGATTCCCTAATATGAACCCTATTATGGGAACCCTAATCCCTACAAACCCCCCTTAGGCTAAAACCCTTTTTGGCCTCCTATGATACCCTTATAGATCCCTTTAAGGAACCCCTATAGATCCCTTTAAAGGAACCCTAGGGATCCCTAGCCCCCATAGGCAAAAACCCCTTTAAAGGCCTCCTATGATCTTAGTAAGTCCACAGGAACCTCGTGAGCCATGCGGCCAAAGCAAGCGACGAGGGCCTTGTCATTCCCCCAGCGCACTCGCCTTCCGGCAGCTAAGGAGTCTTGGGTTTGAATGGGGTCTAGGGTTTAGGCTGCAGTGGTGGATGGGAGAGGGATCAAGGGTATAGGGTTAGGCGCAAGGGTTTCTGGTTTAGTGGTTGAGGGATGAGGGTTAAGAGGTTTAAGTCAAGGGTTCAGGGGCTTTGGGCGCTTACTGTCGGGGTTTAGGGTCCAGTGGTTGTGGGCTTTAGGTTTCAGTGTGACAGCTACCGGGTACCAGCTTGCTGGAACCAGACTTTGGGTTTTGGGCCTTTCTAGCCGTTGGCCCGTTGCGCTGATATGGGAGTTTCCAAAAATAGGGGACCCTGTTACAATACCCGAAATAGTAGGATCCTTAAGGACCCCTTGGAGGCCCTTTTGACTTAGTAAGTAGGGTTAGTAAGGTGGGTTATGGGGATTATAATGTTGTTTCTAGGGGATACTAAGTAGACTTACTAAGTCAACAGGGCCTCCAAGCCCCAAATAAGGTACCCCTAACTTTCGGAAACTCCCATATCTCAGTTGCACAGTTCATAATCAGCGAAGCGGGGTCTGACATTTGACTTTTCAAGGGAGTCTCAGCAGATCTCAGGAAGCTTAAAGCTTACCTACTCGTCCACTCAACAAAGGTGTTCTAGGTATATACCCTTCATATAGCTATTATATGCCCATTATATAGCCCGTTATAGGGACCCAGGGGTCCCCAATAAGGGTCCCTCTTCTCTGTCGTTCGGCTCTACTTCGTGGTGCTGTTTGGGGGTAGAAGGTTTGATGACTCAAGAGGTGGGGTTCCGGCAGCTGGCTTCCTCTTGTTTGCTGGATGATCGTGAAAGCCGTGGTGTTTGATATTAATATTAGTATTGATATTAGTATTAATATTAGTATTAAAACTAGCATTAATATTAGTATTGATATTAGTATTGATATTAATGTTAGGTGTTAGGGTACGAAGTTCCGAGGGATTGCTGCGCAAAGGAGGGGCGAAATTCTGCCCACTGTCTACTGCTGGCACATGAGACTATCGCCAGGTACTGCGAACTCTGCGTAGCAGAATCCTGGCGGGCAAAGAGTCACCTCAAACAGGATTTCCGTTTCGAGGACTGACATTGCAACCGATGATCTACTATTTGCTTAAGAAACCCACAAAAAAAATAAAAATAATAATCCCTATATTACACCCATAAGGAATATATTTTTTATTTTTTGGGGGTTCTTAAGCAAATAGTAGTGATTGGTGCAAGCTAAAGGCTTCATCGGAGAACAGGGCTCCAGGCTTGCAAGGGGAATTGTGCTCACTAGCTATCATCTTAGACCTTTCGTTTTTAAAGGGAACTCCAGAAAGTTGGAATATGGATTAATGGCAGGATCCCCTATAATTTACCTTAAAGGGGTTACGATAATGATATACCAACTTTCTGGCTTCTACTGTAGTGGAAATAACAGCTTCATGACCAGATAAAGATTCCAAGGACTGCGGTCGAGGTACGGCAATCGTCGTGAACCCAAAACCGCCAAAACCTACCTGTAGCCGGAAAACCCTACCTTTTTAGGGTTCCTTATTATTGTTTCTATATATAGTTCCTGAAAAAGGTAGGTCTTTTCGGCTACAGGTAAAGCTTGGTGACTGCCATGCCTAGTGATGTTCAGCGCATCCACGGCATGTACGAAGCAAAAGAGTGCCAGAAGCTGCACTCCTTCGGATCCGGGCCGAAAAAAGAATAGGGGGAACCGAATGGGAGTTTCCGAAGATTAGGGATACCTTATTTGGGGGTCCTTATAATAAGGGTCCTACTATTTAGGGTACTAGATTAGGGTCCCCTATTTTCGGAAACCCCCGAATCATTAGAGCGTAGATTTTGAGGGCAGATTACAATCTTGCTGATTGTTCCGACCCCTAAATGAAGCTTCTCCCTCCATCATTAGATCATGGGCTTTGAGGGAAGAGTTTCATCTCTGTGTTTCAAGCTTCAGAAACCCTAAACCCTAAACCACCCCCAATAAGCCACAGAAATAAAATGTTAAACTTTTCGATTCCTACTGAACTTTCAGAACCCAAAAAACTTTAACGGTTAGGTACTGGGGATCTAAGCCCTTTTTGGGGGACAGGACTTCCCCCCTCGCCCTGGAAGTAAAGACCGTAATTCAGTTGCGTGCTCTATTGAGATCTTGTTTCGGATCCAAGTTCACGGGTTCCTTAAAGGGAACTCCAGAAAGTTGGAATATGGATTAATGGTAGGATCCCCTATAATTTACCTTAAAGGGGTTACGATAATGATATTCCAACTTTCTGGCTTCTACTGTAAAGGGGTCTATAAGGGTTCTATACGGTTACCTTATTTTGGGGTCCTTTTTATGAGGATCCCACTATTCAGGGTAGTATCTTAGTCCCATCGCAGGGTTTAGGTTGTAGGAGTTTACTAGGATGCCCAGTAACCCAGGAATAAAAAGGGCTCTCGTTTTGGTATTGGGTAACTTTATAAGGAACCCAGAACCACAAAAAAGGGAATAAGGGTACTACTGGGCATCCTAGTTTAAGCTACCTTGGTAGCGATCTATGGCAAACACTAGGGTTTCCTTCCTGCGGCAACTTAAACTATCCAAGGGTAAAAGGAGGGACCCTTAATAAAGACCCCTAGGTATATACCCTTAATATAGCTATTATATACCCATTATATAGCCCAGTATGGGGACCCAGGGGACCCAGGGGTCCCCATTAAGGGTCCGTCCTTTTCACCATCTCACTATGTTCCGTCACGTGAACCTCTGGAAATCCGCAGTCGTGTTCGTCGGTATTCTGGCTGTTATCTCTCGTGGGGTTTAGGGTTTAGGGGTTTACGGATTTAGGGTTTAGGGTTTAAGTTTAGGGTGTGGGGGTTCAGGGGTTTACGGATTTCGAGATTTAGGGGTTTAGGGTTTCGGAGAATCATCGATATTGAT